CCACAGGTGCAAACAATTAAGCGTTCGGCTACTACCTAAAAGGTTGGTGGCTCAAACCCACCCAGAGGCCCTTGGAAGACAGTCTTTGTGATCTGCTTCTGAAAAGTCACAGCTTGAAAACCCTATGAAGCAGTTTTACTCTGTACACAATAGGGTCACCATTTGTTGGTGTTCTGGTTACCTAGTGCCACTCTGACAAGAAATATACCACAAATGGGATGGCTTTAACAAACAGGGGTTTATTCTTACAATTTGGAGGCTTTAAGTCCAAGTTCAAAGTGCCAGGCTCTAGGGGATGGGTGAAAGCCCCTCAACCTTGAGGTCCAGCTCTACCTCTTGCTCCTGGCCCACTGGAGCTAGAGGCATTTCTTCACTCAGACAGCTGCTGGCTGCTGAGACTGAGAAGCCCAAGGTTGACAAGTAAAAAGGCAGAGTCCCAATGTTACCAAACAACACGACATGCCATTAATTTGAGTCCATTGTAAGTCTCAAGGTCGGCAGAGCATAGCAGGCTGCTGAGCAACAACACGGCTACACGCAAGGTCCAAGCATGCCATAGGCTAGAGACAATTCCGAAGGCTTCTCCTTATATACAGGAAGCAGACCACATCCCATAGGCAGCTACTCAGCTGCTTGTGGTAGATCCCACCATGGAGTTGATTGCCAGTCTCATCATGGGGAATAACTACCACCAGCTGCTCAGCGACTCAACCACACCCAGCCAAGTTGACACACAAACATAACCACCACAGTTGGAATTACATACTTCACATACTTATTTTTACATCAAGATTAATTAATGGAGGTTTAAAGAAAAACAAAACACCTCACTGCCATCAAGTGAGATCTGACTCATACAGACCCCTCCTGCAGTTTCTGAGGTGGTATCTCTATGGAAATCGATTCCCCACTCTGCCTTCCGAGGAGTGGCTGGTGAGTTTGAACCGCCAGCCTGCTGGTTAGTGGTCAAATGCCTTAGGCACTATGCCAGAAATAAACAAGGGAAGAAAAAAAGAGAAATACAAAGAGAAGAGAAAAAAAAAAAAAAAAAAGACAATTGAAGAAAATTACGGAGAAGAAAACAAACAAAATACAAAGAGAAAGATGAAGAGAAATAAAACATTCACTGTCATGAAGAGACCTTTAGGCAAACGCAAGCAGAGAGATTTCCAATCTAGGCAACTCGAAGAAGTCATGGCTTAATGACATTTCCCCAGACCTGCTCCAATCATACAAATGACAAAAAACATATAAGATAAACCCCCAAAAGATAAGACAGTCAGAGGCAAGCTTGTTGTTGTTAAGTGCCGTCAAGTCAACAGAACGAAACACCACCCAGTCCTGTGCCATCCTTACAATCTTTGTAGGCTAGAATACAAGAAATGGAACAGAGATGCAAGGTGATGAAAGGTGCCGAATACATAAGCAAGGCAGTGACGGCCAGAAGGGTGGCTCCTGTGGACAGAGGATTTAGGATAGGGCACCAGAACGCCTGGAGCCAGGGACCAAGATAGCTCTTCTCTGCTTATATCAATAGTATTTTCCTGATTTTGGTGGTTAGATTATGGTTATATAGGAAAACGTCTTTTTTTTTGTAGGAATGGGGTCACCAGTGAGCTCAGGGGCTGCAAGCCATGTCAAATTTCAAGGGGTGCAGCCCAGCCACAAACTCAACGTCAGCATGCCTCCCAGCATCTTTCCAAGCAAGCCACCGCCCCTCACCCCATGGAAGGACATATATGCAGTTAGGACCTCACCTGATCAGATGTTTTACAATGCTGCTCAAATAATTTCTTTTAGAAGGATCAGCAAAAGGCTGGTCTCTGTGAGGCGGAGGTTAAAGATGTCCCAAATATGCAGCTTTTCCAAACTGCCGTACCACTCCATCATCTCTAACATCAACTCCTCCTCCTCCCCTCAGTACTCTCCCTTCTGTCTTTGTTGTTATTATGTGCTGTCAGTCAGACCCGACTCATAGTGACCCTCCTTGGGTTTCCAAGGTGGTATCACTACGGAAGTAGATTGCCCCATCTTCCTTCCGAGGAGTGGCTGGTGGGTTTGAACTGCCAGCCTTCTGGTTAGCAGTCCAGTGCCTTAGGCACTACACTACCAGAGCTCTTTCTGGCTTAGAGTTCTGTATTTCACTATAACATCTCAAAGAACTCACTCACTGCCAAGGAAATGGCTCACATGGAAATGGATCACGTGGTAGTGGAGGCTTGCAGGCTGGCAAGTTCTAAGTCCATGGGTAGGTCTAGAGGACTCTCCCCATTCATGTGGTTGCATGGGCTGGCAAACCCAAATAAGTGAGTCAGATGACTGACTGCTGTCTCAAGTCCAGGAGTGAGATGATGACAAACAAATGCAGGACTGGAGCAAGAGAGGGCATTTTCCCAGCACATTAACATATATACCCTCAAGGAAGCTAAGGGTGGTGACTTGAATCAGACCCTTCAGCAGGGGGGCACTCAAGCTACATCCCACTCTAAACAGCATGTTATTGTTGTTACGGTCCCCTCCTTGGGTTTCCAGGCAGTATCACTAAGGAAGTAGATTGCCCAACCTTCCTTCTGAGGAGTGGCTAGCGGCTTTGAACTGCCAGCCTTCTGGTTAGCAGTCAAGTGCCTTAGGCACTACGCTACCAGAGCTCCCTAAACAGGCATAGAGACTAGGATTTACAATACATCACAAAATGGAGGACTATAGCTGGAAGGGCCATATTAAGCAATTCATTGCGCTGCAGGCACATACCTAAATTTGACAGTGAAAGGAGAGTAAAATTAATGTTAAATATATACATGTAATAGAAATTACCACCAACAGACCTTCACTAAAAGACTGTTTAAAAGATGGCTTCAGTAAGAAGAAATGTAAACCCAGAGGAGAAATATGGAATACAAGGAAACAAAACAGAGAACAGTAAATTTTATTAACTATTGACTGACTTTTTAAGTTACTTCTTGTGTGTACGAACAGGTAAGACTCACTAGGGTTAGTAGTTCCTCATTCCCCTTCAAGGTGATTATGCTATTCATTTGAAACACAGTTAGGTTCATTTGTTTATGTTTGTGTTCATTTTATTTATTTAAGTATGCAAAAAAATTAACATAGTTCTATATTTCTGAACTATTTGAAAAAGGTATAACCAAAGGCGAGTCCTTCCACTCATCTCTTTCTACCCTGTTCTTATTCAATCCCATCTTTTTCACCCTCTTACCACCTCCTCCTGTAGATAATGATCTACTGATTTCTGATTTATCCTTCCTGTGTTTCTTTTCCATATATATATATATATATATATATAATTTATTATTATATATATAGTAATTATATATGTTGTTACCAGCCATTGAGTCAGTTCCAACTCAAAATGATGCTATGTTCAACAGAGCAAAATACTGCCAGGTCCAACACCATCCTCACATTGTTCTATTTCTTCCCATTGTTGCAGCCACTGTGTCAATCCATCGTATTTGAGGGTCTTCCTCTTTCCCACAAATTCCACTTTGCCAAGCATGATGTCCTTCTCCAGGGACTGGTCTCTCCTGATAACAAGTCCAAAGCTTGGGAGGCAAAATATCATCATACTCTTCTAAGAAGCATTCTGGCTGTACTTCTTCCAAGAAAAATTTGTTAGTTCTTTGGGAAGTCCATAGTATATTCAGTATTCTTCACCAACACCATGCTTCAATTCTTCTTTGGTCTTCCTTATTCATCATTCAGCTTTTGTATGCATGTGAGGTGACTGAAAATACCATGGCTTAGTCCTCAAAGAGACATCATTGCTTTTTAACACTTTAAACATTTTTGACTTGTGTAATTCAGTGACATTAAGTATATTCATCATGTTGTGTCATCATCACCACTATCCATTTCCAAATTTTTCCATCACCTATAACTATGCCCCCAATCAATAACCCTCTTTTCCTCTCCTCCCACCCCATGTATGTATACTCTTACTTCTTTTTTTGTTACACAAAAGGTAGCTTGAGTTGAAGTCACCTCAATACATTAAACATGCTTCAGTAGCTTTGAATCTCAGAAAGTGAGGTGTAAAATCCCAACCCATTCCTTCTTAGAAGCTCATTATAGGGGGTTGATTTCTTCTGCAAATTTGCCTTTCCTGTCCCCAAGAACATTCAAATGCATTTTCCAAAGAGGAGTACCATGACTCCATTTACTTACAGAATATGGGTGTAGCCTTTTACCAGATACAATGTTACATAATGCTATCTCCAGAATGATGGGTGGTGGACCTTGATTTAGATGTGTTTTTCCCTAAATAAAGGTGATTCAAAGTAAATTGATGGCTTTACTGCTCTAAAGAGTTCCCTACTGCATGTTATTCCTATTCGCTTATGGATGGACCCACCATTCCGTATGGTGAAGTCAAAAGCTTTTGAATGTAGATTCAGTAATCTTCCATATAACTCAACTCTGTATCATCCACAAATTGAGAAATTCCCTTTCTATCTTCATCTGGGAGCTCTGGTGGCATAGTGCCTAAGGCATTTGACTGCTAACCAGAAGGTTGACAGTTCAAACCCACCAGTTTTGGCATGTCTTCATCTAAGTGGAAAATGTTGAACAAGACAGAGGCAAGGAAATACATTTTTAGTACTCTGCTGGAGATCTCCCTCAATGTGAGCTGTGATCCATTAGTCATTAATTTATGGTTATGATTCTTCAGTGAATGAGACAAGTTCCAGCTATATTACTATTCATTTACTCTTGGCTTTGTCTTAGGAGCTAAATGTTTTATGGATAATGTCAATTAAGAAAAATCACTCTCTTTACATTTTCTTTTTGAGAGTTCAGTTATTAAACAACACCCTAACTAAATAAATGGGAGTGGAAATGAAGCTAAGTTGATTGATTCACTGGAACAAGAGGGAACACACCATTATAGTTTAACCAATGTGTAAAGAAGGCTCTTATGCAATCAGTTATCTGGGCTCTTCTCTTCCGAGAATTTGGTTTTAGAGGAAACCACCGTTGAGATGAAGCTTTATAGCCTTCATGTCCTTTTAGCCCTCATCTTCTTCTATGAGCAACATGTCTCCGCATTTCAGAGGTAATTCACTAGAACCCTAGATGATGGTAGGCTATTTTCCTTATTTGTTTGATTCACATTGAATCAAGTCAGTGTATTGGGCTAGAGAGCAAAAATTTAAGGTTGGAAGTTTCTTTTAGAAAATTGCCCTGGCAAATGAACAGATTTCAGTACAATATGGACCTCCCTAGATCTAAGATCTGTCTTTTCTCTTTCTGGCTCTAGTTCTTTTACTAGGAGAAGTCTGTATGGTATGTATATGCAGTTACTATGGTGACTAAAGGAACAGAATTATTAACAAAATAGTTATTTACACCCTAGCATATCACATAATTTAGATTCTTCTTGTTCTCTTACATAAAATACATTAGATCTGGATGATTTCTTTTCCTTTTATACATGGACTATAGGAGGGGAGAGAGGATAAAAGTGTCAAATAGGAAGTTTGGATTGTGCTTGGGCATTCAGTGTTAAAAGTAAAAGAAGCAGAGTTGTGTTATAAAGAACACAGATGAACATATCTAATTTTTTGTAGCTTTGTGGGCTGATTTCATTACAATGTTCTACTACATATTTTTCTACTAAAAATCACTTAAAGAACACAAATGAACATGTACTCTAGCTTATATAATACATGGAGCAAACAGGTCCAGGTCATCTGCAATATTGTAATTTATTAACTAATTAATTTTTAAGCTCTTTTTATTTGATATTGTTCCCTTTGGAATTTTTTCCCTTTTTTTTTCTTCTTTGATTCTTTTTTTGTCTAATTAGTCTGAAACTGATCCTTTTCTCTGTTTCAGTGATTGGCAAAGAGAGAAAGACATAGAGCAAATGAACATACCAAGGAAGGGGAAAGCTACCCCCAAACACTTTGTCTAATTCATGACTAGCTATGGGAAAACAGTTTGAAAATACAGCTTGATTTGTGAGCTTGCAAGGAGCTCTGGTGGTGTAGTGGTTAAAGTATTTGACTGCTAACCAAAAGGTCGGTGACTTGAACTCACCAGCAGCTCCGTGGAAGAATGATAGGGTGGTCTGCTTCTATAAAGATTTATAGCCTTGGAAACCTGCCGCAGACCAGCACAGTCACTGGGCTCGGTTCTATAACTCGAAGAAGATTATAGGTGAATAGGGAGTCGGCGAATTGGCTAACAGAAGACAAACAACTCAGAGGCTGCTTGCAACTGAGAGCGTTTATTGCCTTTAACTACATGTTTTTATAGTATAACCATTTCTTCTTTTGATTTTAATTTCACAAGCACAGGTTTACGCAAAAGCACAGAAAGTAAAGTACCTGATCAAAAACAGTAAGTTTACAAGTTCCCATTACATCACAATTCTAAGTACTACAACAATGATCATAATTATTGTTTTGGCCTTTTTGTCATATGCCCTGAGACTTCCCATTACGTCAGGATCCTTTTCTAAACAAACTCTTTTTCTGTCCTTTGGAAATATTTACTTTTGAAATTTGCATTGTATCTTTTCACTAATGCTGTGAACCGCTTTTTAAACTTGCCTTTTGTTCATTAGTTAATAAACACCAAGGGTTTCTCATATTTTTGTACAGTCACTGGAGATGTTGTGGTGGTCCTTGGTTTTTTCCAGCATGAGTTCACTTTGTTCCAAACCATTGAAAAGATTTCCAACTGGGTCATTAGTTAAGTTCTTATGGTCCATTTTTAAAATTGCTTGAAGTACTGGAGGCAATTGTTCCTCTGGAATGTTTTCCAGGAGTTTCCTTTGAAGTCATCCATGATTCTGTGGAAAATACACCCTCTCCCAAGGTAGGTTTTAGGTCAATGCCATTGCCTGATCCTCTGACGTCTCTCTGCTCCAAGAAATCTTTATTGTTCTTATTGTAACTAGCAACTATTGAACCAAACAACATTATCAAAAACATCAGCAAACAGGAACAAATGGTAAAAATTGAGAGAGCACACTTCACCCCGGAAAGCTTAGAGTTTCCTTGAAACAGCCGCTTCAGACCGGTGACTATGTCACGCGGACCCCATGGGGCTGTCGTGGCAGAAACCCAATGGGAGTCACTACAAGTCAGAATTGATAAGAGTTTTTGAATGGGCTTGAAGATGTGTTAGCACATCATCACTGAACTGACTATAATTGGTTGACTCTTTAGTGTTCAATATGATTGCTGAGTGGTAAGCAACAAATTCCATTACCAAATAATGGTTGTTACATGGCGTCAAAATCACTAGAATAATCAGTGGCTTGTCTCTCTATCCATAGATCAGATGACCATGATTTCTAATATCCTCGCGAGCTTTAAAATTCTGTCATTTGGTGATTGGCCTTAATTAAGGGTGAGAGAGAGGGAAAAGGAAAACTAATGTCAAGAAGTTCAACCTACCATGGGCAGCAGTGGTGTCACTGAAGAGAGGGAGGAGGAATGAAGGAAACGAATGATTATTTAGCACTTGTGTTGCCTCATGCACTAGAACAGGCACTTAGAAATGTTATCTCATTAAATACCTACAATCCTATACTCTAGGAATCTTTATCAGTATTTTACAGATGAGGAAATTGAGACTGAGGTAGAATAAATCATTTTGCTCAAGTTCAAAAACATTTTAGCCTCATTTCAACTCTTTTCAGTGCACACCATTGCCTCTAAAATATCTTGCAATTAGAAAGATCATTCAATTTGAGGGAGGTCTAATTTAGTAACATTGCAGCATGAAGAGTTTGGAATGAAGCCTGGAGAGATGCCAGGGCTGGAGGTCTAGTCTCGTGGTACTCACCTACAGCAGGTCTAAACATGGCCTACCTGCCAACACAAGTACCATTGGAGATGGCTGTGGCAGTTTCACAAGCACACCTCTAGATTATCATTTTGGTCATGTCGTGAACTAAACTCCCAGACAGGATAATCAGTAACTAAGCACACCAAAGGAACATTGGTGGTTCAGTGGTAGAATTCTTGCCTTCCATGCAGGAGGTCTGGGTTCAGTTCACAGCCAATGCACCTTTTGTGCAGCCACCACCTGTCAGTGGTGGCTTGTGTGTTGCTATGATGCTGAACAGGTTTCTAAGATGGGCTACAAAGAGAAGCCTGCAAATCTGTTTCCAAAACTCAGCCAAAGAAAACCCTATGGATCACAATAGTCCAATTCCTAACCAACCATAGGGATGGCACAGGACAGGGCAGCGTGTCTTATGCTTCAGGGCCCAGCTCCACAGCAGCTAAAAACAACAGCCATGCCAAAGCTTTACTGCACCTCTTTAAAATGAGTCAGCATACAGCAACTTAGAGGGACTAAAGATAATACATGGAGCTTTGGTGGCACAGTGGTTAAGGCATTTGGCTTCTAACTTAAAGGTCAGTGATTTGAACCCCCCAGATGCTCTGTGGAAGAAAGATGGGGCAATCTGAAAACCCAATGGGTGTCACTACGAGTCTGAATAGACTGGATGGCAGTGAGTTTTTTTGGGGTTTGAGAAAGTTAATGGAAATGTAGGAAAAGGGTGAAGAGAAAATAGTGAAGAAATGAGAGAAAATTCTCACCTGTGTGACTTTCTTGGTATCTTTTGATGCACACTCTGAAATCTGATGAAATCCATTTTGAAGAGTGTAATGAAAATAGACTATAGTTAAATCACATGACATTGAAAATATTTAATACCTTCCATATATAGGGATGGTTCTTGTGTATGTGGAGAGGAGGACACTTTGGTGAGTTTATGAGTGGAACAGCTTAGGGGAACATGCATTTCAATTCTTGGTTTCCATCCTCTGCTAGAAATGACATTGCAAACTTGTTTTTCTGGGAGTAAAAATATTTAAAAAAAAAAAAAAATTTCTGCATCTACTTTTCCAGGAATGGTCTATTACTGAAGCTCAAAAGGAAATATAATTTCACTCAGGGCTGTGTACTTTGATGAATTACTTCTGAGGGCGAGACTATAAACCCTTCTTTAAAAAGCTAACAGCCTGGCTTTTTCCTAAAGCTTTCTTTGTTGCTGTTTTCTTGTCGTGATCATTTTCCTAATAAGAGTTTGTATTCAGGCATTCTTTTAGCGGCTGATTTGTAGGTGCATTTTGAAAAATCTCATCAGTGAAATGCCCTGGAACGACAACAAGAAAAAGTTTCAATGCATAAATACCGTATGCCAAAGAGAAAGGCAGACAAAAAGCAGTTTGTCTCAATATCCACTTGCTTTTAAAGGCCAAACATTATGAAGGGTAAAAACATAATACTATCAAGGCTTTTGTAAACAAACATTAATTTCATTGTGCAATGATTACCAAAGTGCAACCTGTCAGCCAAGGCTTTTTATTTGGATAGAGGAAGTGAGAAAAAGGAGGAAGAAAAGAAGGGAGGAATTGGAAGGTGGGGGAAGGTGGAGGATGAAGGGCTTTTGAATTATTGATAAAGCCAAAAAACCAAACTTACTGCCATCAAGTCGATTCTGACTCATAGCGACCCCTATTGGGTTTCCGAGGCAATAAATCTTTATTGCCCAGATTGTCCCATCTTCTTTCCACGGAGCAGCTGGTGGGTTTGAACCGCCAACCTTCTGGTTAGCAGTCAAATGCCTTAGGCACTACGCCACCAGAATCACGGAAAATGTTACTTCTGTCAACTTAATCTCCTATCTGGCCACCCAGAGACCAGTTTATTTTCTTTCACTTAGTTCCTACAGAGACATTACTCTCATGTTTAAGGGCAGGTCACCAGTGAACTTGAAACACTATGGAAATGCATAAAACAAAATTGTAGCTTTGGGCTGTGTTCTATTATTCAGAAGCATCTCATCAGCTTTTTAAATTTCAGAATTATGACAAGTGTGAACTTTCCTTGTGAACCATAGTAGAAAGCAAGCCTTGATGAACATTGCTGCATTCGTAGAGGGTTAGGCACTAGAGGAAGTGCATAGTTATTGAAAGCTCAGGATCTGGAGAGTTGAGTTAACCTTGGATCTGCTACTTATTAGTCCTCTGGCCTTGAACAATTTGGAGGCACTGAGTGGTGCAAACAAGTAATTTACCGCTTACCAAAGGTCGGAGGTTCAAATCCATGCAGAAGCTCCTGGGAAGAAAGGCTTGGTGATCCACTTTTGATGCATCTCACTTTAGGTGGTCACTCGTGACTCCCTCCTTAACCCCTAGCACTAGCATTCACCTCCAGGTTCTTGCTGCTGAGATCCCTCACTCCTTCAGGCGGCCCTATTGAACACCATCTGCATTTGAACTACATAACATGAAGTGTTTCTTCTTTTGTTTCTATTTACTAGTGAGCCAACTGGAGACTAGGCACCTACAGGTCTAGCTTTCTCAGGAGCAAGTCAAGTGTGTCAACTCTTGTGTCTCTACATTTGAGGAGACATGTTTCAAACTCTCCCATCATCCCTTGGAAATCCTCCTTACTAGATTGAGGTAAGGGAACACCCCAAAATTCCATCCCCCTTTGGGAGGTTGGGTCTCACAGAACTGCAACAGCTTGCTCCAAAAAAATATCTTCACAAATCCTCTCTCCCTTTCCACATTACAAAACTAGTTGTTGTCAAGTTGAGTGTGACCCAGGGCAATAGAACTGTGCTCCATAGGATTTTCAATGACTGTTTCTTTCAGAAGTAGATTATCAGGCCTTTCTTCTAAGGTGCCTCTAGGTAGACTCAAATCTCTATCCTTGGGTTAGCAGCTGAGTACATCACATGTCTACACCACCCAGGGACTCCTCTCTATACTCAGACCCCTTTTTATAGCCTCTCTCTGATTAAGTTAGGGGACACAGAATTCAGAAACTCATTTTTAAACATTACAAATTCTTCATAGGTTGATCTGACTAACCCTCATCCAGTTTCCTTATTCGACTGTGTTGACACTTTGATCAAAATTGATACTGGGAGAGTCCAGGAAACCACAGTTTGAATTTGGATGTATTACTATATTTGATGGTCAATTTTGCCTTCATAATTTTACTCCACAACATTTCCTAACCTGTCTTTTATATTTCTTTAATTATTTTTTCTCCTCCAAAAAGGAGGCCTGTTTTGATAATGTGCTTTTTTTAAAAAAAACTTTAGTGCTTTTCAAAAGGTATATAATTCTCCACTGCAGATACCATGGCCGTTCTCTAGAATCTAAGTGTCTGTATTGGGATTCTCCCACTGGAATGGGACATTATCTCCAAAAGTCATCTTTTCCCACTACCAATGCCTCTAATGCCATAGATCAACCAGGCCACATAACCCAAGTAATAAGATTGCTCTGGGTCCTTAATAAAGCTGACAGTCTTTCATGTCAGCCAATATATGCAATAAAGCAGTCTTTCAAAGTGAGCCTTATGTTGCTGCCAAAATCCAAGAGATTCCTTCTTTTTCAAGGGATGTATGAGATACGATAATTTGTCCTTTATTTTGGAGGGGATATCCCAGAAAGCCCCAGACCTATAGGCAGCTACTGCCGTGGAGTAGGAGCTGACTCATAGCGACCTCTGTTTGGGTTTCCGAGGCAGTATCACTACAGAAGTAGACTGCCCAATCTTCATTCTGAAGAGTGGCTGATGGGTTTGAAATGCCAGCCTTCTGGTTAGCAGTCAAATGCCTCAGGCACTAAACCACCAGAGCTCCTCCCCAGACCTATGTTGTTGTTGTTGTTATGTGCGGTTGAGTCAGACCCTTTGAGTCACACCCGACTCATAGCGACCCCTCCTTGGGTTTCTGAGGCGGTATCCCTACGGGAGTAGATTGCCCAACCTTCCTTCTGAGGAGTGGCTGGTGGATTTGAACCGCCAGCCTTCTGGTTAGCAGTAAAGAGCTCCTCCCCAGACCTATGGACTCCTAAAATGTTACTGGTGGGTCAGGCTTCTGAATCTGTGTATGATTTATCTTCTACCCTCTGGAGTACACATGTTTTACCAAGACCCCTCAATTTTCTTATCACTTCTTACTCATCCAGTTTTAGATTAACATGATGTCACTGATATAGTAGATCAGGTTATCCAAACAGGCCAGTTCCCTTGGGATTTTATTATGACAGAGAGTGGGAAATTTTATTTAAGCTGAAGCTAGATCTGTCACAAGAAAACGTGAATTGTTTGGAATGCTCTTTTTCTGATAGAAATGGCCAGTTCAATTACTGAATAGCATGTACTAGAGGCTTATTAATCTGCTCAGCAAAGATACATACCTGGCACAGAGGCAGCAATTGGGACTAGTATTTGGTTGTTCACCATCATCTTCCAGGATCCATCTGGCTTTGTAGGAGCCAGATTGGTGAATTGAATGAATGTGATGGGAACTACTATCCCTGCATCTTTTATTGTTTGTTTATTTATATTATTATTATTACTATTCTATTATTATTATTATTATTGTGCTTTAGGTGCAAGTTTACAGAGCAGAGTTTGTTTTACATTCAACATTTCGTGTATATTTGGTTTCACTTCCCAATTACCATCCCCAACCCTAACCCAGTCTCCTCCCCTCCCTGCCCAATAACCTCCCTCCCCGTGTCCCTCATAGTTATGCTCTCCTGTGTGTCCTGTATTTCCTCTGTGCAAATGAATGTTGCCCCTCTGGTGCCCTGTGGTCAGTTGCTCCAAGGGATGCATTTCCATAGAGAATTTGGGTGTGTCACCCTGGGTTGAGTGGTCTGTGTGTACATCTTGTTTTATCCCTGAATCCTTTAAGTCTTTAGGGATCATACTAATACCTGCCATTTCCCTCTAGGATGCATTTTTAAAATTTGCTATCTTGGCACAGGGGTGGGCAGTTCCCTAGGTATCCTGTTGGCTTTCCCCGCTGTGATGGCTCTTACTACACAGACAAGGAACCAATGTGGGGGATCTGCCAACTACCAAGTAGGTCCATTTGAAGTATGTACTTTGGGTACAGGGAAATGGTCCATGGATGTGTCCATGAACATTGTGCACCCACTGTGAGCTGGACCTAGGCTAGGACTTCATATCATCAGTCGGCTTGGGCCATGTATCCAACAGACTTTAAAATGCTTGGGTATTTCCATTTACCCAGAGTGCGGTTACCTGAGTAAAGGGCCATTGGTCCCTCTGGGAAAAGACTGGGGGAGTTATGGTCATGTACCCTTTCTACATTTCTCTCTGTTATACACAGAATCAGTAAGAGTCAGAAATGATTCAACAGCACCTAACAGCAAAAACCTGCTATTGCAAGGTCTTTTTCTTCACAGGGACCTGGCTTCTCCTCAGGCAAAAGTTTCTCGGTCTGAGAACTGGCTGAGGTCTAGAAATGGGGTAAGGGATTTTGACTTTTTATTAGGATGGCTGTTGTCGGTCTCTTTAATTATCCATCCTTGGTTTCTTTTGGTTGTTTAGGTTGAGTAGACCTCATGTTGGGTGCCTGTCTATCTTGCCTCTAAGAATGCCTTGTTCTCCTAAGTCCATGGCATTTAGTGGGTCATGTTCCTCTGGTTGTCACTCTGATGACTGTTTGAAAACTTGACATATGAAAGAACTGGCATAGCCCATCCCTGTGAAAAGTATTGAAGATTCAATAAGCGATGCTAAGACAAAAAAAAAAAAAAAAAGAAATTGTATTTCTTCTTCACATTGTATACAAATAATTTCCAAATGGATTAAAAATGTAAGTGAGAAAGGCAAGGGGAACATAAGAGAATATCTTTATGATCCAAGCATAAGGAAAGACTTCTTAACACACAAAGAAGGCACAAAAGGAAATGATGGATAAATAATGCACCATACAGAAAGAGAAAATACAGTCTACAAACTGGTAGATTATTTGCAATACATAAAACTGACAAAAGACTGGTAAGTGGAATATACCAAGAACTTCTACTAATCAATTTTTACCGAAATACAACCAACCTAATAGAAAACTTAAGCAAATGACATGAAAAAGCATATCATATAAAAGGAAATGGGAGCTCTGGTAGCATAGTGGCTAAGACACTTGCCTGCTAACCAGACGGCTGGCGGTTCAAACCCACCAGCCACTCCTCGGAAGGAAGGTTGGGCAATCCTACTTCCATAGTGATACTGCCTCGGAAACCCAAGGAGGGGTCGCTATGAGTCGGGGCCGACTCGACGGCACATAACAACAACAACAACAACAATAAAAGGAAATAGGAATGACCAAAATGGAATAAAAATAACTCTACCTCATTAGTGAGTCAGAAAATTCCAATTGAAATCACAACTAAATTCCATTTCACAACCACCAAATGGAAAAAGTTGAAAAGTCAGACAGTGTCAAGTGCTGACAAGGATGAAGATCAATAAAATCATTTTCACAACTGGTGAAAATATAAATTGGCAAAAAAAGTTTGGGAAATTGAGAATAGGCCTACTGCATGAGATAGCAAATCCACTCAGAGAAATTCTTGCACATGTGACCTATAACTAGAAATTTCAATACAAATGATAGCCTTGAAAATAAAACGTTAAATTAAAAAACAAGATATTGATTAATACCTGTAATATACAACTTTTAAGGAGTTTAATCAAACAAAGCTAGGCATATTGTTTAAGGTACTATAGCTATAAAGAAAAGTAAAGGAATAGACAACAATGACAATTAGGGTAGTGGATACTGCTTGGCTATGTCAAGAGAGTTGAGTGGGGAGAAACACATGAAGCACATCAACAATATCTGTCAAGTCGGATCTCTTAAGTGGGGCAGTGGATTCACAAGAGTTTTTTATTATGTAAAAAGATGGTATGAGCATAAAGTTAGCATACATATAAAATTTTCAATTTTTGAAATTCACACATACAGAATGGAGAAGAAAAAAATATATAAAATTACTCCCATTCAAGAGAGCTGTTGATTTTGCAGTTGCTTGGAAGCAGAAAGAATGAGAGCATATGAGTCTCCTTTTACACTTAGTCCAAAGTGACATCCAGTTTCCTTTGAACATTTTCAATGTTGCTTCATTTCACAGTTAGTTAGAAGACCCTTCCAGTATTATTTATCTCATTTTCACTTTTTATTTCACGTCAAAATCCTCTCATTTTTTCACAGGGGCCAGGTTTTATCTGCTCTTCCTATAATCTCTAAGCAAGTTGAAATTCTGCAAAATCTTACTTCATCATACGAGGTAATGCCTCCCTAACGTATCTTTGTATTTTTGTATCTTTGTGTTGTTTTAGTTGTGTAAACGTTGTGTGCCATGTTCCCTTCTACATTCGTCTGACTTACTTGGACCTAATAGAAACCCCTCTTACAGCATTCCTCCTCTCTCCATACTCCAGTGATTTTGTTGACTCCTCAAATAAAACCCTCTTCATTTGTGCTACTAGTTTTCTGCTAATTCATGATTATACCTTGGAGTTGAATTTCTGTACTTATGGGGATTACTACAACTACATTTCACTAGAACTTTTCCTATAAAACAAATGTCCTTAATCAAGGGATATTTTAATTTCCTAGAGATTCAGTAACAAGTTACCACAAACTGAGTCCTTAAAATAATAGAAATTCATTCTCTTGCAGTTATAGAAGCTAGAAGTCCAAAATTAAGGTGTTGACAGTGTCATGTTCTCTCTGAAGATTCTAGGGGAGAATCAGTTCCACGCTTAGAATCAGTTCTCACTTAGCTTCTTGGAGTTCCTTGGCTTGCAGACCCATCACTACAGACTCTACCTCTGTGTCACATGGTGTTCCTCCTGTATGCTCTGGCCCTGTGTCTCTTCCCTTCTCATAAGAATGTCCATCATGTTACATTAGGGCCCAACCTGATTTAATATGACCTCCTCTTAACTAATTACATCTGCAAAAAAAAACCCTATTTCCAAATAAGGTCATATTCTGAGGTTTTAGGATGGACATGAATTTTGCAGGGGACACTGTTCAACCATGTAAAAAGACTAAGCATCAGAAACACATGGGGAAGTTTATTAAAATTTTTATGCCTGGGACTCATCTCCTCAGAATCCCTAAGTCATAGAAAATTAGCACGTATTATAAATAGTAGAAAGTTGATGATTCCATGTTTGTAACTTAGGGTTCTCAGAAAAGCAGACACTAAGACTAGATTAGAAATGCAAAAGATTTATTAGAAGGAATGCTTGTTAAGGATAGAGAGGAGGGAGCTGGAGATGGCAGGGAGCACCTTCAGACCATGATATAGATCTGCCACCTGTAAAGGAGAGAAGGAAAGAAAAAAGATTGTGCTTGAAAAATTTTAGACTGCAGTGCAGTTCCAGTGAAGATCAATGAGTCCTTGAGCTAAAGTCATGTGTTAGAGTAATACCACATGGCACAGGAATGAATCTGCATTAATATACCCGTCATGTACCATCTTTGGTTGGCAGCAGCCCTGAGGGAACACAGCCTCAGTCACTGATGGATCAAGAGAGGTAGCAGCCGGGGTTCCTCATAACAGAAAATCTGAGTGGAGCGTTTTCATGGCCATCATACTATATGGTGTGGAATCATGTGTCATGCAAATGGTTAACACACTAGGCTGCTTTCCAAAAGCTTGGTGGTTTGAGTGTACTTAGAGGTACCTTGTAGAAAAGTCCTGGCAATGTACTTCTGAAAATTCTTTGGAGCACGGTTCTACTCAGACACAAATAGGGTTATCATGAGTCAGAATTGACTCAATGGCAAATGGTTTCACATGTTATAGAAAAAATGCCAATAAAACAAGCAACAGAGATTTAGAATTTTAGTTCTTGTTCTGCTACTTTCTAGGTGTATGATTTTAGACAAGTTAGTTACTAGCCTTAGTTTCTTCATCTGCACAATGAAAAGAATATGAAGGTACGTTTATGATGATCAAATGAGTTGAGTATGAAAGTGCTTTGAAAAAAAATGCAGTAAAATAGAAAAATGTAAAATATATTTGGAAGGCATTGCCCAAAGGCCAAAATTAGATTAAAGAAAAGAAGCAGTACCACCAGTTTCCACTGAGTCAATTCTAACTCAAGGCATCCCCACATGTGTCAGAGTATAACTGTGCTCCATGGAATTTTCAGTGGCTGGTTTCTCAGCAATAGATCACCAGTCCTTTCTTCCAAGGCACCTCTGGGGGAACTCAAAGCTCTAAACTTTGGATAACAGCCAAGTGAGTTAACCATTTGAACCACTCAAGGACAAAGAAAAGAAACACTGACATGATAATAATAGCAAGGATTTGAAATTGTTGGGAGTTCTGGTAGCATAGTGCCTAAGGCAATTGACTGCTAACCAGAAGGCTGGAGGTTCAAACCCACCAGCCACTCCTCCAAAGGAAGAGTCAACAGCAGTGAGTTTTGGTTTGTTTTTGTGGAATTGTTATTAAAGAAAATCAATGTTTAACCAACTTTCTTTCTAGAGAAAACTTTATTTCTCTTTAAATACCTGATATTCAGATCTAGCTTTACATTGGGATATAAATGCATTCATTTATTCATCATTCCATAATTTTCTCACCAAATATTTATTGAGTATGTGGTATATTCCAGGCCCTCTCGAGCAAATGGGGTTCTAGAGAAGAATAAAACAAGCTCCCTGCAATATAAATGTTTATATCACTCCACGTGTAGATGAGAGCTATGGCTAAGGAGGGTACCTCTCATGTCCTTTGTAAACATACTCTTATGACACTAGCTACACATGAGAATGTGAACAACTTTGTTTCTGTTTTGTCTTTTTTTTTTTTGCCTTGAACCTGCAGATTGTTCTCTGGCAACCCGTAATGGCAGAATTCATTGCGAAGAATAAAGAAGTTCATTTTTTTGTGAATGACTCGGATGTAAGCATCGTGAAAGCCCATTTAAATGTGAGCAGCATTCAATTCAAGTAGGTATCATTCCACACTTACTAATAGCTATTGTAGTTATTGTAATGTGTCGTTGAGTTGGCCCCGAGTCATAGCGACCTCTCCTTGGGTTTTCCAGGCAGTATCACTACAGAAGTAGATTGCCCAACCTTCCTTCCGAGAAGTGGCTGGTAGGTTTGAACCACCAGCCTTCTGGTTAGCAGTCAAGTACCTTAGGCACTACGCTACCAGAGCTCCCAGCTATTGTAAGTACCTAGCATTTTAGGAGCTCTGGTGGTGTAGTGTCTAAGGTATTTGACTGCTAATCAGAAGGCTGGTGATTCAAACCCACCAGGCACTCCTCAGAAGGAAAGTTAGGCAATCTACTTCAATAGTGAAATCCTTCAGAAACCCAAGGAGGGGTCACTATGAATTGGATCTGACTTGACGGCAGTGAGTTTGGTTTTTGTTTTTTGGTGCCACAGTGTCTAAGGCATTTGACTGCTAACCAGAGGGTTGATGGTTCAAACTCAGCATCCACTCCACAGAAGGAAGATGGGGTAAAGGTTTACCATCTCAGAAACCCAATGGGGGGTCTCTACAAGTTGGATTTGATTCGATGGCAATGAGTTTGGTGTGTTTTCTTAGCATACATTTTAGGATTTCCAAGGACCTTTGGTGGCATAATGCCTAAGGCATTTGACTGCTAACCAGAAGGTTGGCAGTTCAAACCCACCAGCCACTCCTTGGAAGGAAGATTGGGCAATCTACTTCGGTAGAGATACTGCCTCAAAAACCCAAGGAGGGGTTGCTATGAATTGGACCCGATTTGAAGGCAGTGAGTTTGGTTTTGTTTTTTTTAAGAGATAGTATACTACCTTTATTTTATTTGCTAAGTGATATAGTAAAGGAGCTCTGGTGTTATAGTGTCTAAGGCATTTGACTGCTAACCAGAAGATTGGCAGTTCAAACCCACCAGCCACTCCACAGAAGGAAGACTGGGCAATTCACTTTTTTAAAAACTTTTTTTATTTTATTGTGATTTGGATGAAAATTTACAGAGCAAATTCACTTTCCATACAGCAGTTCACATACACTTTGTCACATGACACTGATTACAATTTACCCCAATGCAACAGCTTCCCTCCCACTTCCTCCCGATAATTACCTCTTCCCTGTGTCCATTGGGAAATCCATTTCTGTAAAGATTTACTGCTTTGGAAACCTGAAGGGGGTCGTTATGAGTCAGAATCAGCTCAATGGCAGTGAGGTGTTTTTTTTTTTTTTTTAAGTGATGGTATAATTGCTTCTTGGAAAAATAAAATATTTACATTAAAAAAACCAACCATCATGATAATGGGCTTGATGATAAAGCCAAATGGTCAGCTACCTCACCTTATGTTTAACCTCTAATGATTCTGTCCCTTTATCTGAAAATGAGGGTTACATCTGTAGAGTCGCTTTTTAGTTCCACCTTCCATGACTATTCGATATTAGACTTGAGGTCTAAAATTGTCATTCACCATAATAGACTTTGTGGCATCTCTTGAACAAGCAGCTGCTTAAGAGAGTTTTGCTTTTCTGATTCTTCTCTTCACAAGGGCAGTGAACATTCCTGAATATTTGGTCCTGATTATTAATAATATATTATAGGGACTTGTGTGTCCTAGACTAAGCCTTTTGTATACTGTTATCATTTAATCCTCATTTCACCCTGTGAGGTAGATGCTATCCCCATTATACAGATGAAAAGTAGATACTTAGAAAGAAATTTCTCAAGGTCAACCAGCCAGAAAATGGGAAAAGTACGAGCTAAACATAAAAGAAAACTTTGTTAATGTGATAAACAAACAAACAAACCCCACTGCCGTTGAGTCAATTCCAACTCATAGTGAACTTAATTGTCCATCCAAATGATAGAATGCCTTGATGTAGTTAAAATGTTTGCCTAGTTAGTAGTTGCTGAACTTCTCAAGAGAAATGTAAAGAGATGACTTTCCATGCCTTCTCTTTTCCTGTCCTTCTCTTTCTCTAGTGATGTGACCATGCAGAACAGCCGCTGTACACCAATGGCTGTCACTATGAAAAACAAAATGCTTTCTGCTTCTCTTTGGTCCTCAACTGAATACAGGATAATAGAATATTTCTCTGAATTGGAGAAAGTTGTCCATTACCTTACACGTTCATAGTAAAGACCCTGGAAATATGTTGATAATAGTGGGTAAAGGGTAAGTTTTGGGAGGTCCTAAAATATACACATAGGAACTACCTTCTCTCCAGTGTCCATGTAGTATCTACTAAAAGAGTTTGTGACTTTTAGCTTATAAATATATTCACTATTGTTGTTTGTACCTTGATGACCTTTTGCTTAAAGATTTCTCAGTGATTTTCCTGTGGCCATCTGCTATGCTGGCACTGGACCATATGGGAAGATCACAACCCTGCTTAAAAATAAGCTCACCTTCTGTTCCATCCCCTAGGGTCTTGATGGAAAATGTTGAAGATCTCATTCTACAGCAGACCTCCAATGATACATTTAGCCCCCGGACCTTCTCATCATACTATGAACAGTATCACTCCATGAATGAAGTAAGACGTAACACTTCTCTCCAAAATTACTACTTCCTTTTAGCCAACATTGTCGTTTCGGCCATAAAAAAAAAAAAAAAAAAAAAAAAAAACTTCACTGCCATCAAGTCAATTTTGACTCATACCAACTCCTCCTTTGGTTTCCAAGGTGGTATTTCTATGGAAGTAGATTGCCCAACCTTCCTTCTGAGGATTGGCTGGTGGGTTTGAACCACCAGGCTTCTGGTTAGCAATCAAGTGCCTTAGGCATAGGAAATTATTAAAGAATCAGAATTGGTGGAGGAGAGTTAAGAAAAAGAAAAAATTACAAATGCATTGTAGGGAGTGGTAGCTCATTCTTTTACAGATATTTTTCCTGGAAAGAAAGTATCATATTTGGTAAACTCACTCTAAGGAGGTGGTTTTCCAAAGCTAAGAATATCTCTCACTGGTAGGAATAACACAGCATGTTAAGGAAGAACAGGAATAAAGACTGGGCCTTTTAGCTAAAATGTCTATACATATTAATATTCCAATGAAAACTGTCTTTATGGTTTTTTTGTTTGTTTGTTTAACTTTCATTGAATTATTGCCAATTATCTCACTGAATTAAAGAAATTTATTCACTTACAGTTAATACACTACGAATGAATGTATTTCTTTCTATCCATGAGCAATCTATTTGAAACAATAATAATTACCTGTATTTTAATATTAAGAAATTGGATTTTGTTTTACAGTCAGTATTTACAGATTTCAGTTTAATCAATTTCAGGAAACTTCCATATAATACACTAAAAATCATTTTCCCCATCTTTATTAATTGAAAAGGATAAATCCATGGAGAATTCTCTTTTGTCTAGAATATCCAAGGAATAAAAATTTCTTGATGTCTTTTTTTTCCCCTCATATGAGAGTGTTATTATATTGCCTAATATATGTATTTTTCTCATCTTTGACTAGATGCCTGGTAGCTATTTGGAACCTGTGATGGTTATGTTTGTATGTAAACTTGGCTAGGCCTGGTTGACTGGCTGGGCAGCTGGTGGTAGTTATTTCCCCATGATGAGACTGGTAATCAACTCCATGGTGGAATCTACTGGGAGCAGCTGAGTAGCTGCCTTTGGGTATGTGGTCTGCTTCCTGTATATAAGGAGAAGCTTTGAGAATGGTCTCCAGCCTTTGGCACGCTTGGACCCTCCATGTAGCCATGTCATTGCTCAGCAGCCTGCCATGCTCTGCTGACCTTGGGGTTTACAATGGACTTAAGTTAATGGCCTGCCGTGTGCACTGGTAACATCGGGACTGTGCCTTTTTACTTGTCAACCTTGGGGCTTCTCAGCCTCAGCAGCCAGCAGCTGTTTGAGTGAAGAAACACCTCTAGCTCTGGGGCCGGGAGCAGGAGGCAGAGCTGGACCCCGAGGTTGAGGGGCTTTCATCTAGCCCCTAGAGCCTGGCACTTTGAACTTGAACTTAAAGCCTCCAAGTTGTAAGAATAAACTCCTGTTTGTTAAGGCTATCCCATTGGTGGTATATTCCTGTCAGAGTGGCACTAGGTAACCAGAACAGAGCCATAGCCATACTTTTAAGAAATCTAAGATTTAAGTAATAAAAACAAAATTTCAACTTAATCTTCAGGAACATCTGTTCCTTTCCAGTTTGTTAAAACAGATCCAACTGTTTCTAGAATCTCTATGCCTGTCTGACTGACATGGTTCTTTTAAAATTGCCTCCCCCTCCTTTATGTCTCATGCCCTTTCTTCATCTGCTCCACCTAGACCACCTCCAACATCAATCATCAGCACTACAAGAAGCAAGCTTGGTGACATAATTTGCAAAATTAGTGACCATGTCACTGATGTATTGAGTTCGGCAGGGAAAAAAGATCGCCTTAAACAGAAGTATTTAAATTCTTAAATTTAATTTAAAAATTATCTTGTTCAAAAGTTTAAATTTTCTTAGATACATCAAGGAAGGACATGATTTGGAAGGGGGTGAGGGTGGTACATGACATTCCAGAAAAGATTTTAAATCCTTACCTCTCCTCTAATCCTTTCTAAGAAGTTCATAGGAACCATGACAATCTTGCTCTCAAGAAATTCAGTTAAGCCCTTCTTTCTCCTTTAACACTGCACTGTTTCTGCTGGTATCTCCCAGAGGTCCCTCTATCAGCCTTGATCACATTAGCACCCAGTAGTTCAAAGGGTTGCTTGGAACATTGGCCTAGATCAGGGAATGGAGTTAAGTAATTCACTGTAGGGAGAAAGAAACAAATGGCCATAAAGGACTTCTTGTAACAAATGGCATAAGAAAGGAGTGTGAAATGAGTCAAGTTTGTAAAGTTGCCTACATCACAATCTCCCCTGGCTGAGGAAATCTACTGAACCATCAGTGCTATAACAAACAACAAAAATGTTGCCCCTGAGTTGATTCTGACTCATGGTGACCCTGTGTGTCAGAATAGACTGTGCTCCATAGGGTTTTCCGTGGCTGATTTTTTGGAAATAGATCACCAGGTGTTTCTCCTGAGGCCCCTCTGGGTGGACTCTAACCGCCAACCTTTCGGTTGGCAGCCAAGGGCATTAACACTTTGCACCACCCAAAGACTCTCAAATATAGTAGTTCTCTAAGGGATGTATTACCATATAGTATGTGGGTGCTTCATCCTGGGTTGGGTGGTCTGCATATACATCTTGTTAACTATTGCACTGACATTCACACCAAGGAAATGCAGGACAAACAAGAGTGCATGACTATGAGGGGCACAGGGGCAGAGTTACCGGGCAGGGAGAGGAGGAGACTGGGTTAGCGTTGGGCATGATAAATGGGGAGTGAAACTAAATGTACACGTAACACAGAATGTAAAACCAACTCTTAAAATAAAATAAAATTTTAAAAAATAAAATATAGTAGTTGTCGCAGACATTTTCATGCCTTGGAAAAAAAATCCCAATGAAGAAATAAATCCCTGATGGTTAAATGTCAGATATCACAGACGCTGAGAAGGTAGGTATTTGGTGGCACATGGGCCTTCCAGAAGCCCTTTGATTCCCAGCATTGGGACAACCACTTAGACATGGCATCTCCTCTATGCTACTCTGAGAGAAGCCATTGGTAAATGGCACTCCAGTTCCCATCAGCGAGGATTGCTATTTGAAGAACAGAATCTCTAGAAAAGTTCTCAGAGCTAAGGCCCAGAGTTGACTGTTTTCATTTCAAAAGGTATGTAAGTTAAAAGTGGCCCCTGGGAAGTTGGTTCACATTAAAATTTGACTGAGTTTAATACCAGAAATCCCAGCCCAAATGACACTTCAATGCCTGCTTTGAAGTGGACATAAGCCTTGAGTCAGCTACAGAACTTATTTTTTGTTTTTCCTTCCAATAGATAACTTCAACTACCATTAGCACTACATCCAACAGGTTGGGTCAGAATCCAATTACTTCTCAGGATAGAAAAGAATTTTTCTTTTTATCAAATTGTCTTCACCTTTACCTCTCTCAGTTTCACACATTCCATTGCAGTTGCAGAACTCTAGAAGAAAACAATGGTATTTCTGTTTACCTGGGCAAAGGCCATCCTCTAGGCTAGTGTTGAAAAGTGAATACTAAAAGATAAAAAAAAAAAGAGAAATGTCCCATGTAAAATAGAACTCTTTAATGAATGATAAAGAGAATTTTATATAGAGAGGCAGGTATTCAATGTGATAAGACATTGAAAATAATTTACAGGAGCCATACTTTAAAAATCAACTTCTTCTACTTTGTTGTAAATTTCTTAATACTTTTCCACTTCCATATTTTATATGACACTTTTTAAAACTTTAATTTCATTGACCTTCTTTTTTTAAAATTTTTATTGTGATTTGGGTGAAAGTTTACAGAGCAAATTCACTTTCCATACAGCAGCTCACATATACTTTGTCTCATGATATTGACAGCAATTTCCCACAGTGCAACATGTTGCTCCCCTCCCACTACCTGCCTGTAGTTACCTCTTCCCTGTGTCCTTTCCTCCCATGCACTCCTGCCCCACCCCAAGCTGTCTCCCTGTGCACACAGCCTTTCTATTCTCCTATGATTGATCTCTCCAAGGAGTTTATCTATCTAATGTAAATGTTCAGCTTATATGCCTGTCTTTTGTTTGGCTGGGAGCCACAGGAGTGGGTTCAATCAATTCCAGACCTGAAGGGCAGCTAGGGGTCATAGTCTCAGTGGTTCCGTCAGGCTCTATCAGACCAGCAAACCTGGTCCTTTTTTTTTTTTTTTTTTTAATGATTTTTTAGTTTTGTTCCACATCGTTCTCCCACACTATCCATCCTTGATCATCTTAAATAGCAGAAAAAATTCTGCCCAAGTATTCTAATCCATCATTACTTCCACATACAAAGTTTTAGAAGAATTGCCTTTCTGCGAGGATGTTGTCTGCTTCCATTGGTCAGTGGGATACTTTGAATTTGCTCTGTAATTAATCATTGGTTTCTGTTTTAAAAGATCTATTCTTGGATAGAAGTTATAACTGAGCGGTATCCTGCTATGATTGAAAAACTCCACATTGGATCCTCATATGAGAAGCACCCACTTTACGTTTTAAAGGTATGTTGTAAATAAAGCCATTGAGCTTTCAATTTTTTGGAGAGCTTAATTCTCTCCAAATCCAGTGGTATTTGTCATAATTTGGATTTCTTTTCTTTGAGTTCTGGAAATATTTGTATGACTAGTGTTTCTCACTCCTAGGAAGGAAGGTTGGCCAATCTACTTCTGTAGTGACACTGCCTCAGAAACCCAAGGAGGGGTCACTATGAGTCAGGTCTGACTCAATGGTACATAACAACAAAAAGTATTACTCAACTTTAATATTCCACTATTTAGAAGCTTGCTATTACCTTTAAGGGGAGCTCTGGTGGCATAGGGCCTAAGGCATTTGACTGCTAGCCAGAAGGCTGGCGGTTCAAACTCACCAGCCACTCCTCCGAAGGAAGATTGAGCAATCCACTTCCGTAGAGATACCACTTCAGAAATCCAAGAAGGGGTTACTAGGTGTTGGGTCTGACTCAACGGCAGTGGGTTTTGGGTATTAGCTTTAAAGGTCCCTGGGTGGTGCAAACAGTTTATGCTCAACTTGCTGCTAATAACAATGTATTGCATTGGGCAAATCTGCTGCCAAAGACTTGGTTAAAGTATTAAAAACCTAGGAAACTCCAGGGGACAGTTCTACTCTGTCCTATAGGATTGCTATTAGTCAGAATTGACTTGATGGCAATGGGTATAGTTCAAGAGTCAAGTTGGAACCCCAGTTCTAGAATCAGGTCTGCTCCTGTTTTTGTGACATTGGATAAACCATTTATCTTTTCTTGGCTTCAACGCCTACATTAATAAAATGAGGGAAATTCTCTGGATTATTTCTCAAATTCCATTTGTTATAGCACTATTATCTCAGATTGGCATACTTAGGGAAAAAAAAAAGAAAGAAAGAACAAAAAGGAGAGGAGTCTCTTATAGGGAAAACACTGTTGCAGCTTTTGGAACTAAAGAAAAGGCTGAAAATTCAGGCCTAGGGAAAGATGGGAACCAGGGCAATGCTGCGGACCTTGGCAGTAGGACTCATCTAACAGCTTCTGTTCCAATTACCATCCATTTGATTATCTATTTTAAGATGCAAAATCTTATGGGAACGACTCTGACTTACCTACCCTGGATCAGATGTCTCCTCTCTTACATAAATTGGCCTTGGAAAGGATCAGTTGATATAGCCACTGGAAGAATTTTTAGGAGCCATAAACTATATTAATTCCTATTGTTACTTGGCAGCGTTTCATTCTGTTGTACATAAGGCTGCCATGAGTCAGAACCAACTCAGTAGCAACTAACAACCATAGTAGTTTCTAATTTTGTAAGTCTGTTATTTACCACTCCCTCCACTTTAAAAATAAATAAATAAATAAATAAAATAAAGAAGCTATGTGAAGAAAATTAATCATTAGAGAGTATGTTTGACTTAGTAACAGATAAGTTATACATGTTGTTGTTGTTGTTACATGCCGTTGAGTCAGCCCTGACTCATAGCAACCCCTCCTTGGGTTTCCAAGGCGGTATCACTATGGAAGTAGATTGCCCAACCTTACATAGTTTCCCAATATTAGTTAAATTGTAATCGGTGAGCTTTTCGGTCATCCAAAGACAGGACTTTCCGTCAGCATTTCTGGGTTTTAATTCTGTCTCAGATGAGAACTTGCAGGGCAAACTCAAAGCAGACACATGAAGCTTTGGATCCTCTCCACAGCCGGGTTAGTCAATCACATTGGATGCATGTAATCATGACAGCCACCCATGATGTTTGCTGTCAGCAATATTGCATATAGATAGTCACGTAGAACTTGTGTTTCTGGGTCCTAGGTGTACATGTTGAGGAATCATGTTTCCTGGATGCTTCCTAGAAGCCCATTCTTGTTTGACCAAGGATACGCACAATGTGGGTTTAGGAGTCCTCTGTTTGCTATCAGTATTGGGACCAACAGAGTTTGCTTAGCATAGTTTAGCAGAAGGTCAAATAAGGCCTCCTCATCTGGAAAACTCAGGATTTTCTTTTAAATTGAGTAAAGAAGCCAGCGCTTGCTCCTCTTCATACAATTTGACCCTAAGTTACCCATGTCATTTTTCTTTCCCATTTGCCCTGTAGTTGGATATTGCTAGCTGTGTTGTTGTTGTTAGGTGCCACCAAGTTGGTTCTGACTCAGAGCCACCCCATGTGACAAAGTATAATTGTCCCATAGCATTCTCTATGCTACGGAATAGCATAGGTTGTAATCTTTATGGGAGCAGATTACCAGATCTTTCTCTGGTGGTTCAAACAACTAACCTTTTGGTTAGTAGCAGAGTGCTTAACCATTGTGCATCCAGGGCTCTAAACCTCAAACCAAACCCATACTCATCAAGTCAATTCCAACTTAGTGACTTTATAGGACAGGGTAGAACTGCCCCATTAGGGTTTCTAAGGCTATAATTTTTATGGAAGCAGGTTGCTACATCATTCTCCACGGAGTGACTAGTGGGTTTGAACTGCTGACCTTTTGGTTAGAAGCCAAGCACTTACCCCTAGTGGCACAGTGGTTAAAGTGATTAGTTGCTAACCAAAAGGCTGACAGTTCAAACTCACAAGCTACTCTGCAGGAGAAAGATGAGCCGTCTGCTTTCATAAGGATTACAGCCTCGGAAACCCTGTGGGGGAGTTCTATTCTGTCCTAATGTGTCAGAGTTGACTTAATGGCAATGGGTTACCAAGGCTCTATGTAAGCAACAGAACTCTTTGATTTGGTATTTCAACTCCACGTTTGTTTGATTTCCCAAGACTATTTTCCCTAATCCCTAAAATTGTAGTGTAGCTATTTTTTTTTTCCTATTTTTATTGTGATTTGGTTGAAAGTTTACAAAGCAAATTCATTTTACATACAGCACACATACTCCCCATAGTTACCTCTTCCCTGCATCCTTCCCTGCCATGTACTCCTGCCCCCTGAGCTGTCTCTCTGTGCATACACAGCCCTTCTATTCTCCCGTGATTGTTCTCTCCAAAGAGTGTATCTACCTCAGGTAAATGTTCAGCTCATATGCCTGTCTATTGTTTGGCTGGAAGCCACCCGAATGTGTTCAATTCTAGACCTGAAGGACAACTAGGGGCCATAGTCTCAAGGGTTCCACCAGGCTCTATCAGACCAGCAAACCAGGTCCCTTTTTTTTTTTTTTTTTATGATTTTGAGTTTTGTTCTACATTGTTCTCACACTCTATCCAGGATCTCTTACATAGATCCCCCTTCTAGTGGTTGACAGTGGTAGCTGGGCAACATCTAGTTTTTCTGGTCTCATAGTTGCATAGGCTGAAGATCACATTGTGTACCAGTCCCTTGGACTAATTGTTTCCATGTTTCTTTGGTTTTCTTCATTCTTCTTTGCTCTGGACAAGAAGAGACCCATTGTTGCATTTGGATGGCTGCTTGCAAGCTTTTAAGATCCCAGTTGCTACTCACTAGAGTGAGTAGCAATATGGAACAATGTTTTTGTGTAGTGTGTCATGCCAATTGAGCTTCGTGTCCCCTGCGACCATGGTTCTCAGCCCACAGGTCCAACTATTCACTCCCTCCGGGTAGCTGGCTATGCCCAAGAAGTGACTACAAACTTGTCCTTTGTCAGCTCTACTATATACCTGAGAATCCTTAAAGAACATACAAATACACTTGTAGAACAATTATCTGCCAACCCTATACATGGTCATAGGCACACTCCTCCCTGTACAGACATACCTAATCATTCAGGTTATCCACCCATCTATCCACCCATATCAATGTTTGCCTTCACTGACAACACAGTATTGTATGTACAAAAAAGTTAATCTGTGTTGTCTATACCTCTCATGCACCTCTCTATGTCTTCCTCTTCCTCAATGCCACCATAATGATCACTCACATTTGGTACATTGCCCTTCCCTTCACTCAAATCAATATTTGTCTCTATTTATCTAGTAGTGTTCCCTCCCTTTCCCTCTCACTCCTGGTAACCAACAAAGAAAATTTCCTTCCATATATAAACCTTTCCTTGACTTTTTGCAATAATGGACTAATACAATATTTGCCTTTCTGTGATTGATTTATTTCACTCAGCATAACATCATCCAAGTTCATCCATGTTATGTGGTGTTTTGCAGATTCTTCATTATTCTTTAGGGTTGCATAGTATTCTGTCCTGTGTATGTGCCGTAGTTCAGTTATCCATTCTTCTGTTGATGGACATCTATGTTGTTTCCATCTTTTTGCTATTGTAATAGTGCTGCAATGAACATGGGTATGCATATATCTGTTCTTGTCCTAGCTCTCACTTCTGTAGGATATATACCTAGTGTGGTAGTTATGTTTGTGTGTCACCTTGGCTGGGCCTGGTTTAGTGGCTGGGCAGCTAGTGGTAGTTATTCCCCATGATGAAACTGGCAATCAACTCCATGGTGGGATCTACCACAATCAGCTGAATAGCTGCCTTTGGGATGTGGTCTGCTTCCTGCATATGAGGAGAAGCCTTGGGAATGGTCTCTAGCCTATGGCATGCTTGAACCCTGCATGTAGCCGTGTTGTTGCTCAGCAGCCTGCTATGCTCTGCTGACTTTGGGACTTACAATGGACTTAAGTTAATGGCCTGCCGTGTGGTTTGGTAACATCAGGACTGTGCCTTTTTACTTGTCAAACTTGGGGCTTCACAGCCTCAGCAGCTAGCCACTGTCTGAGTGCAGAAATGCCTCTAGCTCCAGTGGGCTGGGAGCAGGAGGCAGAGCTGGACCCCAAGGTTGAGGGGCTTTTCACCCAGCCCCTAGAGCCTGGCACTTTGAACTTGGACTTAAAGCCTCCAAATTGTAAGAATAAACTCCTGTTTGTTAAGGCCATCCCATTCGTGGTATATTCCTGTCAGAGTGACACTAGGTAACCAGAACACCTAATAATGGAATGGCTGGATCAAATGGTATTTCTAATTCCAACTTTATAAGGAATCCCCAAACTGCTTTGCACAGTGGTTGCATCGTTTGACAGTCCCACCAGCAGTGTATCAGAGTCCCAATCTCTCCATATCCTCACCAGCATTTGTTATTTTCTCTCTTGTTGAACTTTGCTACTAGTGCTAGGGCTAGATGGTACCTCATTGTTGCTCTAATTGCTAATGATCATGAACATTTCTTCATATGTTTGTTGGCCACCTGAATATCCTCCTTGGTGAAGTGTCTATTCTTCTGCTCGTTTGTTAATTGGATTATTTGTCCCTTTGTTGTTGAGGTGTTGGAGTTTTTTTATAAAATTTGCAAATAAGTCCCTTGCCAGATATGTCATTGCCAAATATTTTTTCCCAGTCTGTAGGTTCTCTTTGACTCTTTTGAAGAAGTCTTGGAAGCACATAAAAATTTAGTTTTTAGAAAGTCCCATTCATCTAGTTTCTCTTCTGCTGTTTATACATTTTGGGTTATGCTTGATAGTCTATTTATGTCATATATTAAAAAAAAAAAAAAAACCTCACTGCCATCTAGTCAATTCTAACTCATAGTGACCCCTCCTTGGGTTTTCAAGGTGATATCACTAGGAAGTAGGTTGCCCCACCTTCCTTCTGAGGAGTGGCTGGTGGGTGTGAACTGCTAACCTCTGATTAGCAGTCAAATGCCTTAGGCACCACACCACCAGAGCTCCCACAGAAGTAGATAGATAGGGCCCCTAAATTTGCCCCATTTTTTCCCCTGAGGAACTTTGTAATTTTAGGTTTCACATTTAAGTCTTTGATCCATCTGGAATTAGTTATTGTGTATGGTGTGCAGTACAGATCTTGTTTCATTTTTCTGCAAATAGATATCCAGTTTTACAAGCATCATTTGTTAAACAGACAATCATTTCCCCGTTTAATGGATTTCAGCCCTTTTTCAAAGATCAGCTGACCATTGGTCGATGGATCTATATCTGGGTTCTCAATTCTATTCCATTGGTTTATGTTTTGGTCATTGTACCAATACCAGGCAATTTTGACTGCTGTGACTGTATAGTAGGTTTTGAGATCCGGCAGTGTGAGACCTCCTACTTTGTTCTTCTTCAATAGTGCTTTGCTTCTCGAGTTCTCTTTCTTTTCCATAAAAAGTTAGTGATTGCTTTTTCCATATCCTTTAAGAATGTTGATAGGATCTGGATTGGGATTGCATTGAATGTATAGATTGCTTTGGGTAGAACTGACGTTTTCACAATGTTCAATCTTCCTAACCACCAGCATGGTATGTTCTTCCATTTATGTAGATCTCTTAAGGTGTCTTGAATTAATCTTTTGTAGTTTTATTTGTAAAATTTTGTGTCCCTGGTAAGATTTATTCCCAAGTATTTTTATTTTTTTGGTAGCTATTGTAGATGGTAGGAGCTCTGGTAGCATAGTGGCTAAAACACTTGACTGCTAACCAGAAGGCTGGCGGTTCAAACCCACCAGCCACTCCTCAGAAGGAAGGTTGGGCAATCCTACTTCCGTAGTGATACTGCCTCAGAAACCCAAGGAGGGGTCGCTATGAGTCGGGGTCGACTCGACGGCACATAACAACAACAACAACAATTGTAGATGGTATTGATTTCCTTATTTCTTTTTCAGCAATCTCTTTGCTGTTGTAGAGGAATTCAACTGATAATTGTATGTTGATCTTGTATCCTGCCATGATGTTAAATCTCTCAATTAGTTCCAGTAATTTTTTTTTTTACTGAGTTTCTTTGATTTTCTACGCATAGGATCATATCATCAGCAAATAGGGATAGTTTGACTTCTTCCTTACCAATTTGGATGCCTGTGATTTCCCTTTCTTGCTTTATTGCCCTGGCTAGGACTTCCAATACAAGGTTGATAAAGGGCATCCTTGTCTGGTTCCATTAGAAAGGGGAATGGTTTCAGTCTCTCTCCATTGAGAATAATGTTGGCTGTTGGTTTTGCATAGATGCCTTTTATTATATTGGGGAAAGTCCCTTCTACTCCTATTTTTCTGAGAGTTTTTATCAGGAATGGGCATTGGATTTTATCAATTGCCTTTTCTACTTCAATTGATATGATCGTGTGGCTCTTTTCCTCTGTTTTATTTATATTATGGATGATGTTAATTGTTTTCCTAATGTTGAACCATCCTTGCATACCTGATATAAACCCCACTTGGTCATAATGTATTATTTTTAATATGTTGTTGGAGTCTATTGGCTAGGATTTTGTTGAAGATTTTTGCATTTATATTCATGAGGGATATTGGTCTATAGTTTTCCTTTTTAGTGATGTCTTTGCCTGGTTTTGGTATCAAGGTTATGCTTGCTTCATAAAATGAATTTAGTAGTATTCCATCCTTTTCTATGTTCTGGAATAGTTTGAGTAGAAATGGTGTCAATTCTTCTCTGAATGTTTGATAGAATTCTCTGGTGAAACCATCTGGGCCAGGACTTGTTTTATTGTTTATTTGTCTTACTGTTATTTGTCTTATATATATGGTTTCCTTTTTTTATTGTTGATAATTTCTTTATGACCTGTTCAATTACTTCTTTTGTTATGGATCTGTTCAAATTTTCCACCCCAGTCTGTGTTAGTTTAGGTAAGTAGTACGTTTCTAGAACTCTGTCCATTTCTTCTAGATTTTCAAATTTGTTGGAATATCATTCTTCATAGTATCCTGATATTATCTTTTTTATTTCAGTTGATTCTGTTGTGATGTCACCCAATTCTTGCTATTTGTATTCTGTCCTTCTTTCCTTTGTTAAATTTACCAGTGGTTTGTCAATTTTATTAATCTTTTTTTAAAAAAAATCTTCCAGTCTTGTTGATTTTTTTCTATCATCTTTCTATTTTTTAAAGTTAATGTATTATGAATTATTTTGTTTGGAGATGTTTTGGGAAATTCTTCTAAAACCACCAAAAGCTATCATGGAGCAAAGGTTGAAAAGTCTTACTCCAGAGAATTGGCAGCTTTGACCAGGCCACCACACTGTCAATCAGGACAGGGTCTCTGTCTTCAGATCTATGATTAGTTTGTGGGAAGTTAGATATGTGCATCTTTTTGTTTAAAATGGGGAAATAGAAAGTGTGAGTCCTGGGGAAAATGGTGAGGGAGACCAAGTTTATCTTTCATTTGCCAAGCCTTTCTCTGTTTTCAGTGTCTCTCCATGCTCCCTATGGAAGGCCGTTCATCCAACACACACCCATTTTACCTCTGATGTTAAGGAATGCCTGAATCCCTAATTGTCTGGTCTCTACATCTCCCATTTCCACGTGCAATTCTGGCATGACTAGTTAATCATTGGGGAAAAAGAGCTTGAAATCAAGAATCTTGGAGTCATACCTTAGTACATACTCATATCACTTATGTGTCCCTAGCTGGTGTCCCTCAATCTCACTAGCTTTTTAATTTTAATTTTCCTTGAGAATTCTCAAGGAAATGGAGAGAAATGTGTATGTATGTTACAGACTTGTTGAAAGAATTAAACATAAGCACTACATAAATGGAAGCTATTATCCTTGGACTTAGTATTTTTGCTATTTTTTGATTTTCATTGACCAGGTTTCCAAGAAAGAACAGACTGCTAAAAATGCTGTATGGATTGACTGTGGAATGCATGCCAGAGAATGGATTTCTCCTGCTTTCTGCCTGTGCTTCATAAACTATGTAAGTATTCATGTTTCTTTAAGTATGTGGCCCAAGACCACCTGAACCTAGGCTGTTTATTTTAACTAATTATCCCAAGTCAGATCATAGATTTATTCACTCAAAAGTTTTGGAGATGAGGTTTGGGTGAGGCTTAGTTATGCAAATTAAGTTTGAAAACCATGATCTCAAGCATTTAAGTCACTCTAAAGATTGTTGGTGGTGCAGTGCCTAAGGCATTTGACTGCTAACCAGAAGGCTGGGATTCAAACCCACCAGCCATGCCTCAGAAGGAAGGTTGGGCAATCTACTTCTGTAGAGATACCACCTCAGAAACCCAAGGAGGGGTTGTTATGAGTCTTCTGTGACTGGACGGCAGTGAGTTGGTTTTTTTTTTTAAAGATTGTTGAAGGAGCTCTGGTAATGCAAAGAATTTGGCACTCAGCTATTAACTCACAGGTTGGTGGTTCAAAGTGGTGCTGTGGAATAAAGACCAGCCAATCTACTCCTGTAAAGATTACAGCCAAGAAAACCCTATGGGACAGTTCTACTGTCATAAAGGGTCATTATGAGTAGAAAACCACACAGCAGCATACAACAACACAGAGATTATTGATCTTTTCCTTTCTTTATTTCTACCTGGACTGAACAATGGAGAATAATTAAGAAAAAATATGCTAGTTGTAGTACGTTTACTAAGTAGAAGAAGTGAAGCAATTATCTAAGTTGAATCCCAATTCTTTTTTGTTTTGCTTTGAACTATCCAGACATTTTTTGTCATTTTCTGTCCCTGAAAATTAAACATAAAGCACATTACAGAGAAGATCATATTTTCCCATATGTCATAATTGGGCATTTTGTCCCTGAAGAAAGGTTTAGCATTAAGGAAACCATATATATATAAGATAAATCATATGTCATAAAAGTAAAAGATACAAAGACCATAAACCTCTATCAAATATGAAAACAGTAAAAATTATGCTTCAAATCCTATAAAGTGATCATATATATCCTCCATCCTGATTTATACTAAAAGATACAAAGACCATAAACCTCTATCAAATATGAAAACAGTAAAAATTATGCTTCAAATCCTATAAAGTGATCATATATATCCTCCATCCTGATTTATATGAAGAGTCATTGCCACTGGAAAAATAATTCAAAACAGTTTTCCTTCCTATAATGTTTATTGTTGTCTTCATATTCACAGACACATAGTAACACAAAAGAGAAGAGTTAGGAAATTAAGCGTTTGCCATGTAGATAGGTCTACTTTAACAAGTGAAGTATCTCAAAGGTAAATGCAAATTTCAAAGGTATAAATTAGAAATCTGCCTACCTCTGCTGGGTCCTGACAAATACAGCATCCCCAGCTATCTCCATCACCTTACCATCTTCTGCTCTCCGCTGACGAGAGCTGCAGCATCCCTGAGCCTATGGAAAAGTTCCAAACCAGTGTTGAAGCTCCCTTGGCCAAATGTAGATGGTTCCAACTAACCAGACTTTGAGCACAGCCAAGACAGTTTGATGATCTGGAATCTTCCTAAAGTTGCATAGTTTTACCCTTTTAGGTAATGAATAAAACAGTTGTTAGTGGAAAGAGAAGGCCACAAATAAAGAAAGAAAAATACTTCCTTTTCATTTGATCACTGAGCCTGAAAAGGGCCAGAAAGAAAATCCAATTCATATTGATTCCAATCATTCATGTTGGTGAAGTTGTCCCTAATCATTGCCTTTTCCAATGCAACACATCTTCCTTGCTCTTAACCAAAGTACTCTTTACTCCACCAACTTATTGAATCTTTGTAAGATTAACTTATTTATTCCACAAAAATTTATACATTGCTTACATGGTCCTGGAGATACAATAAGGAATAAGATGTAGGCCAAGGATCTTATAGTCTAGTATTTTCCCTCAACAAAGTGAATGTGCTTTGTGTAGCCCAAGCCTACATAATCAATAAGCTTCTTTCTTTTGTTAAAAAAAAAAAAGGACATTTAGAAAGTGCCACTGCAGATTGGACCCTTGTGATCCATAGACTTTTCATTGGCTGATTTTGCAGAAATAGATCACCAGTACTTTTTTCCTCAAGAAGCTTAAGCAGTCACTTCTCTCCATATCTCTTACTCATTTTTTCTCAGGCCACAAGCAAATTTAGATCACTTTTATTTCCACAAATGACTCCTCATGACATAATGGTTAAGGGCTCACCTGCTAGCCAAAAGATTGACAGTTCAAATCCATCAGCTGCTTTGTGGGAGAAAAGCCCTGGTGATCTGCTCCTGTAAAGATTGTTGTTGTTGTTGTTATTATTATGTGCTGTCGAGTCAGCCCCGACTCATAGCGACCCCTCCTTGGGTTTCCGAGGCAGTATCACTACAGAAGTAGGATTGCCCAACCTTCCTTCCAAGG